CATAATCATATGGTTGTTTTGGAACGTTAAACCCCGCAAATCAATCAAATCGCGAGAATTCTCCACGCGCTGTCGGCCAAATGATTTGTCGCGGCAGTTTACTAATTACCTCGATAAATCTTCCGACAAACTGCTCCCTCCATTCATGGCGTGCCAACTGACGCTATCCGCGGAAAAATGAGCCTGATGCGACTACGGGGGAACATCAGCTAAAAAAACATCAGCATTTCCACCTCGGTGTCTGCGTATAGTGTTTTTTTTTTTTTGCACGTAACCTCTTTACCACGCGTCGTGCCTCGATGAGCTGCACCGCAACGGCGATGAGCGACGTCGACGCGACTCCCAAGGCGACGACAGGTGGAGACTCGAAGCGCACCGTCTAACGAGTGCCTCGATGCGCTCGTTCGCCTCTGCTCCGTTCGGGGGCGCGCGCGTCGAGGCACTCTCAAGGTCCCTAGACATCTAGGGACGTTAGGCACTCTCTACGCCGTCTCCGCTTGCTAAGGTCCCTAGATGAAACCAGGAAACTTCTTTCATCTAGGGACCTTACCGCTTGCTCGTGCAACGCGCCATCGCGCTGGCGGGCGCTAACTAATCCGGCTACCACGACTCCTCGGTAAACGGAGCGCACAAACTCTCTCTGCTAATCCACGACGAGATCGTCTGGAAGCCGTCGCGGTGCCAGCTACTGCAAACAAGTGACGTCCTGCGGAGATTTATTCTGCGCCTTGCATCGCATCGGCATGCTCTGAGCGTAGCACCGACCTAGACGAGGTTGTTGTTGTAAGAGCGTAGGCGCTGCTTACGTTAGCCCCCCCCCCCCCCCCCTCCGTTCCGTGTACTGCATGTTTTCCTTGCATTTTTTTTTTTTGCGACCTGTCCCTGGCTGGTCACTTGCAGTCGCTTTGCGTGCTGATTTTGCCGTTTTTTTTTGTTTTTTTTTTTTGCGCGTCCGAGCTTGGACGACCGGTCAGAGACGCGGCGAGCACCTTCGAACGCTCGTTAGCCGGATTTCGCCAGACAGCCCGTCAGTCTCGGTTTGTTCCGCGCTCTGTCCGTGCCCCTTGGGAGGTTTTCCAGTTCTTCTGTTCCCACTTACTTCTCCCACCAATTTCCGTTAATTTGTTGTTGCTGCTTCGTTTACGTTGCATAATTGTTTACAGATCGAGTCTATACGTATAGCTTTCAGATGAAAGTGAGTGCTGGTGTCGTTGCCTTCCTTTCCCGTGTCTTAGTCTATGCTTGGCTTTTTAATGGTTTAGATGTCATTTAATCAAATCAAGAATAACAGATGGACGTGAGCAGGGCATGTAGCGCGAAGGCGTGGTCACCCTGTAATCATTAAGACTAGCAGACTGGATTCCAAGAGAAGGCAAGCACTCGAGGGGCAGATCATAAGGCACATTAAATTAAAAAGGTTTGCGGGGATTACGCGGTTTCATAAAGCACAGGACCGGGCTATTTGGGGGGAAAAGAGGTTGATCCCTCTGATACAAGAATCGATATCTTACACGAAAGTGAAACGTGTCTTCACACAAGCAGTTGAGTATTTACTACACATTGATATATAATGTCTATTGGAGTTAAGTGGTTACAGCACCCTTAGATGTTGATGCACCCATGTTGATACCTGGTGACACCTCTTCTTCACCACGACAGTCAACGACTCGCGACAGGCGTACAATTTCCGCAGACGCTGCACGCACCGCAGCATCGCGCAAATCAAGGCTGGTGCACACCGGCGACTAGCAGCGGTCGCGCGACCATTCGCGACTGGCGACCAAAAAGCGACTGATGTTCACACCGACAGAGGCTGCATGCGAGCGACCGGAAGTCGCAAAACCGGAGAGTCACGTCCGGATCTCGTTATGAGCGAGAACTCCTGAGACCGGCGCGATCAGCTGATCGCCGCCAGCTGACTCCGTTCTCGCACAGCGTTCCCAACAGCGTCAAGTTCGATTCAAGCGAAGAACAAGACAATTTCATGGTGCTGATGCACTGTGCCATGGTGTCAGCGCTGGCATCACAGATGCCTCCAAAGAAAAAAAAAAAAGCCGGTAGTGGATGTGACCATCCTTTCGATCGCGGGAATTGACCGGCCATGCAAGCCGCCTGCCTTCAGAGCTGCGCTGACACGACGAGGAGTATTTCCGAGAGTCGTACGTATTCAGAAACCATCCTTAAATTTCCCTTGACTTGCCACAGCCTACAATGCAGCACAAATGCGTCTCGAACGTGGATTCTTAAGTCGTTGCCAAGGCATGAAGTACAAACGCCTTCCAAACACGCTGCGTTGAATGCGCTGACAAGTCAAGTTCAAGACAAAAAAAAGTTTCCGAATACGGGGAAAAGACAGTGCACAATTTATTTTCTCTTTACTTTGACGGTGTTTAGCTTCTTGCGAATGCCACCACGTAAATTCGACAATTTGCTCGAGTTGCTGCGGCCCGCCATCTCCAAGCCAAGTATTCCGTGGTGGCCATGGTGCCACAGACCTAGAGGAACGCACTCGTTTGTATCTGGCGGCAGGAAGCCAGCGCAATGAAAAAAAAAATTGAGCATCGCTGATTGGTTAAGCAGCTTTGCGACTGCAGTCGCGCGACTGAAAAATCGGTCAAGAAGCGACTGGCCAACGCAGTCGCTTTGCGACCGTTTGCGACCGTTCGCGACTGGTTGCGACCAGTCGCAAATGGTCGCGCGACCGCTGCTAGTCGCCGGTGTGCACCAGCCTTCACACTTCAACCACAGCGTTCGCGAACCGTGCAAGCGAAACCGAACGGGTTTTAACTCAATCGCTTTTCGATTCGCGGTCTGCTGCAGCGAAGGAGCGTGCTTTGCGGGTCGGCCACCGTCATGTGGATGTGTGCTCAGCAGGCAGCGTCGTATTGGAGAGCAGCGTCCTGCTGATAGGACGCTTCGGTGAAGATAAGATCATTTCGGTCCTGCATCGGTGTCTGTATGAGTTGGGTCGCGATGCGCCCAACTTCACGAACGCGAGAGATAGAGCACTCAGTTTGTGCCGTGAATGCGCGAATGCCTCCCGCTCCCCCTGGCATGTCCATCGCTGCACCGAACTCACTTCACCCATCGGCGCCGTTGTATTTCGTCGGCGCTTAATGCAACATTCTCGTAGTCGGTACCATCGCACTCGTATAAGTAGATGGCGCAGATACACCATTGCTGCATATCGAAGCTGCACTACACTGTACACGCAAGCGCAACGCGAAAGACGAATCTTCACCGAGTCAAATCAGCGCGTATACGTCGCAATTACAGACTATACATTTGTGGCCTGCGAAATCAGCCCCAGAAATCTTTTCGGAGCTGATTGCGGAGGCAACGCTACACTTTGTTTCAAGTAGGAACAACGCCACCCAGGCGTCTCTGGTAGGCTCTGATGCCATCTCGTCCGTTCGAATGCTGGCATCGACACGCCAAAGGGCTGACACTACCGCAGCGTTCCCTATCGGTGTTAGTTGGTGTCACAATGCAGCAGTGTTCTCCGCTCTTAGGCCGCGACACCGTCCTGACAAACAAAGAGCACGGGTACACAGCAAAGGAGTGTAAGACATATTGTCACGTAATATAAGAGGGGGGGGGGGGAACACACACACACAATGATTTATTAAGGGCTAACTTGTGCCCAGAAAAGTAGCTATGAGACTAAGAAGAGTCTGCTAAAAGCGTTCCGCCTACGTGTCCCTTTCTGATCAGCCACCAGGTCAGTCTCCCCGGCTCGTGCACGAGAGGCAAGCGCTGCCCTGCGCCAAGATGCGCGAGCACGCGCGAGGCACTGTAGACGCCCTCGTAACGTCTCGCTGGTTCTCTTCGTAAAATGATTAGTAGGAGCAATCTCTGCGGCATATATTACACCCGAAGAGTACACGTCGGAATTGCGCCGACCGCTCAGTTGGCTATAAGCGCGCACTTCCTATTGTCGTAGGTTTGATTGCCGGGTCTCCAAAATTGCGAAGTTTTTTTTTTCTTTCGGTTCATTTCTTTGCATGCTGATCATGTAAATTTTAACGATGTCATATCCATGACAGAAATACGTCACTGAAGTCTTGATGGACCCGGCATAAAACGCTTTCATGTTAACCTAGAGGTATTTGCCTCGCAGTGCACGTAGTCAGAATGATGATGATGATGATGATGATGATGTATATCAGTCTATTTGTTGCAGTTGGACAACGTTGAAGACGCTCGGTGATGCGCCTCCTGTTCATCACCCGAAAGTTTCAGCGCCGGGGACCTCTATAGCTGCTCAGGCCCCAAGCTCTTGCGCTCTTCTGTTCTCTCTCTTCAGTTCGTCAGTCACCCGCGAGGAAGTTAAAAAAAGAAACGAGCTTGGGTTCGCAAGCCATTAGCGGTCTCCGGCATCAAAAAATCTTTCTGAGACGCCCAATTCAGCTCCACCCGCGCTATAGTCACGAAGCCTTACTATAGGTATTAGACAGGGCACACCTTCGGACGCGTTGACGACCACCAGGAGCCGCGACGCGCAGCAATCGAAGAGCACGAAGAAAGTGGAGAGCCGTGTTCTCACCCACAGGGTTTCTCAATATTAACTAGAGGGCACTCTGGCGCTGCGATCGTTCAGCGACCATGGGAATGATGGGTAGTACACACATTTGCCTAGTCTTTGTACTTGCGGGCGGCGAATCGTCCTTGCGGCATCGTTTATTGCTGTGCTTCGGTTTTGTCATGAAAGAAAGATTGAACGCTTTTAAACTTCGTGAGCCAGTTTGGAAAGTAAGTCTAAAAAAAATAAAATGGTGAAGCGCAACCGCTGAACACCTGCTAATACGTGTTTCGTAAGAAAACGGCTCCAAGCCGCAGGAACACACACGCGTAGCCAAAGGCAGGCCAGAAGTACGAATATTAGACAAATGTGTGTACTGTATACCCATCGTTCCCATGCTCGCTGAAGCGCCGTGTGTTGCAGCTCCCATAGACACTGGCGCCAGAGTTGCCTCTAGTAAGTATTGTGGGAAACTCACCTGGCTGCCGTTGAGTCCGTTGATGGGCAGGCACTGCTCGTGCACCTGCTCGACGGCGCCGGTGCGCTTGTCCAGGTGCTGCGCCGCCTGCGCCAGGAACAGGTCGAGCACGGGCACGCCACGCGAGCGCACGCCTTCCTCGGTGAGCGAGTCGACCATGAGGAGCACCCAGATGGGCCGCTTGCGCTCCCAGTCGCCCGTGATGGCGTGGAACAGGTAGTCGGCGTACAGGCCGCGGCCGCGCTGGTCGGCCGTCATCCAGGCCGACATCTTGGCCCGCACGTAGTCCAAGTGCCTGCGCCGGTGCCATGTGAGAAGAGTATTCCTTTAACGACCTCGCGACTGCAATCTTGTAGTACTTTGAGAAGACGCGCACGAAAAAGGAACGTAACAGAGACCGCTGATATACAATTCGAAGTTTGAAGTTTATTTTATTTCTTTCTGATACAGAAAGAGGAGTAAGAGCTAAAGGCCGTATTGCCCGACAGAGGCTCCTATACTGCCATGCGCATTCGGCATGCGTGTACACGTTTGCATGCGATGCGAGTATACAAACAATAGAGCAACCAGAAAAAATCAAAACGTGCATGTACATAATTGACACTGCAAATGCAGCATTACAGGTAGACTTCATACACGAAAACTCTTCGTGAAAGCAAACGTATCATACAGACACTCCAAGAATGCATACCTATGCACGCATTAAATTGTGAACTTTCAAATTGTAGCACAAACTGTATATGCGGTACACGTAGAAAATTAGACAGATATATTTTATTGATAAGTTATCGTGGAATGTAACAGAAAGTTCTTTATAAATTTTTTAAAGCGGGGTGCATAAAAATCTACATGGTGTTCAATAGCGAATACAGTGATAAACCACTGCCCAGCGAAGCCAGGGCTGCTGAGCAGCTATGGGAGCCTATGATTAATTGTTATTTTACGTGCTTGTTTTCAATAAACCAATTTCATTTCCGCAAGCACCTTCAATATTGCCGCACCGTTCGCTATATTTGTGCGAAGTATCTATTATATGTTCAATTTCCTAAGCGCGTACGAATTTCTTGGATGTCGATCTGCTTAGTGTAAATTTAAACGCTGTAGTGTGACTTATGACGCAATATTGACGTATAACGCACGCGTCATTACATTACGAAACATTGTTGTTTCGTCATCAAAAAACGTGTTGCATTACAAGATAGAAAACGAGTTGTTCTGCTAGCCATAGTGTAAAATGGCGGAGTGTCTGCCTCCAATGCGGGAAGCACTCGAGTCGGTACCCCCACTCCCCGGTTTTTGTGAAGATGAGAGAGGTACCCCGTTCTAACTTCTCCTTTGTTCTCTCGTCGATCCTTCATACCTGCCACTCTTACGACACTGCGACTTGTTTGCTCACGGTGACAATATTTGGGCGAAAACTTAGGGACTCAGAAGGACAGCTACAGAAGGACGGGAGTTCGTTGTCAAAATGACGACTCGCAGTGTTGCCTCTTTCATGAGTTAGCATAGGCGTAATCGGAACTTTTTTTTTTTTGGAGGGAGGAGGGGAAGGGGGAGGAGACGCAACAAGTCGCCGGTCACCTTTTATGTGCGTTCTTGCGTGCGTCTATGTGTGCGTGCGAAGACACATGTAGAATGGGTGGGGAGGGGGGGGAATCAGAAAGGCGTCGTCACTTAATAAAAGCATGCACTACGCAATGAGAAATAAAGGGTGTTTCTGTTTGAGCTCCACTAACTTGAAACTTGTGGAGCGGCGATGCATGCAGTCCGTCCGTGCTTCCCAGAGCAATGTCTTTACTCTTCGCTTTACTCGCTACAGGTCCACTAACGCATCATCCCTTTGCGGATACCTGTCAAAAAGTGGTGTTTCCAATAACGGACTTTACCGTATCGGTGCACGCTCGTGTCTCTGGGTTTAGATGAGAAACTAGAGTGCCTCGGTCAATTTCGTCGGGAATTGCGACACTGCTGCCAAGCCAAACAATGTTTCAGGCAGTAACCACGAACCCTTTTCTTCATAGTACGCATATAGGTATGAACTAGAGGCGAATAGTGGGATTTACCCCATTTTTTGTGGCGCGTATTCGTTTATGATGGACCGCGACGACGAAACGAAACGCCGACAAGGACCCCAAGGCGTGTCTTTCCTCATAATGGAAGGACTTGAACTGCTCACTCCCCGTGGTTACGCCAGTCGTTGCAAGTGGTATACCATATAGTCGCGCCCGATATGAGTTGCAACACGCTGACTATGGTGACTCTTAACTTGAACAATGACACTGAGAAATGTTGCATTGGTTCGGAAAAGAGCGCTAACTGAGAGAGTTTAATTCACCAATCTTTGTAAGTGCTGATTCGCAGTGTTGGCATCGTTTTGCACCAGGACAGCTCGTTGCGATTCACATTGCGCGCGACTCTACGTCGCTCCTGATTCCAATGGACGGTAGCGCAGACTAAGGAGATGGAGAAAAGAAAGCACATTCAAGAGAACACCTTCTTTTGTCCATGTCCTAGGTCTGCGCTACGATCCATTATCTCGCTACCATACCAACAAGCCCAAATCCCCACCCCCGTCAACTCCTAACCCCAAGCCACTGTCGGCGAAATAAAATTAGACGGAACTATAGAGCAGGCGTATTACCTCCGCAACCTCAAGAGCAGGTCGGCGGGCAGGATGTCGGCCAGGGAGCGTCCCTCGGGCAGCAGCTGGCAGTTGGCGAGCGCCGCCAGGGTGCCAGGGTCCAGCAGGTCCAGCTCGAAGACGACGCGGTCGGCGTTGGCGAACGCCCGCTTGGCGTTCTCCGGCACGTGTTCCCACACTCGGGTGTACGGCACGTGGATGGTGCCGAAAAAGTACGACGGCGGTTCGTTGCGCGTCGACCACAAGAAGGATCGCACGCCGCTGCCAGTCTGCGTCGGGGAAAAAAAAAAGAAGAGTAATGCCAGCATGTTAGTCGTGTCTTATAGATGTCCACGCATATAGCTTTTCTCCATGCGATAGCATAACTCAACACACCAACTTGGTGATTTGTGGACAGCGGTGTCCTGAAATACCGCATTCCCCCGCAATTTGTGGGGGGATAGGGGGGCCTTCTTGAAATCGCTGTGTATGCCAAGGCTGAAAAATTATGGGGGGGGGGGGGTGGCACGGGCCGTGGTGTGCCTTTTTCTGTCTACGCCACTGACGCCCCCCCCCCCTTCCCCGTGAGTCACAGCGCCCCCCTCCATAATATGTATATGTACGAGGCTGACCATGAACCCCCCCCCCCCCGCCCCCGTTTTATAGATGACCAGGGGATGTGGTCGCCTCCCTTCCCCCCACCTCTCTGCGCACGCTCATATATGACCATGGCGTTAATCACGCGACATATTCGTTTGATCAAGCGCGGAGAAATCTTGGAGGCCGCGCTGCAAAACCACGTGCAATACGAAAGCAGAGGTGCCTCCGATCTTGGAGGCAGTGCTAAATCGCGTTAGCTGCAGGAAACTATGAGAAAGGAAGGGGTTTGGATCAATACAATCGACTAAGAACAACGTGGCTTTAGCATTCTCGTTGTCTTAGGCAACTCTAGAAGGCACCCTGTGATGTTTTGACCTTCAACACTGTTATGTTTAAAAAAAACATGTTTTTGGGCTACTTGGTGCGTACTTGGTGCAGAAGACTGAGGCGCAAAAAAAAAAAACATATCGTGAAGCAGGAAGAGCAGAAGAGAAGAAAGAACAGCGCCGAAGACGGAATGGCGCTGTTCTGTCTTCTCTCCTGCTCTTCCTGCTTCACGATATGTTTTTTCGCGCCTCAGTCTTCTGCACCAAGGTTGTGTTTCATTTGTGGCAGAATGATGTGAACATTGCGATGTTGCGTGCCACATTTGGCTCCAGTGGGCTTGGAAAGCACGATTGCCGAAACTCTTTGCGTGCGCCTAAATAAAATGGAATGCGCCGCCTTTTTTTTCTTTTTTTTTTCACACCATTACATACCAATAGTCTCTGTCCCCGCACTTCACTGATCACAAGGTTCTCGCACAATGTAGCAACGGCAGCAGAAACACCGAAGAGCCGGGGAGCGCGACATTTGCCCATCGGCATCATGGAGGGAGCGCGGCCACGCAATTAAATGACCGGCTAATTTCACCACGCCCGGCTTTTTTTTTCACCCATCGCTACTATTGTACTCTAAGAAGACTTCCCCCCTCCCCTACACTCCAAGCAACCGCCCACTCATCTCTCGCATCACAGGCGACCGCCCTCTGGCCTATACGGTGAAGAAATAACGGGAGCTGAGCCGAACAACACTCACAAAGAACTAACAACACGAGAGGAGCAGAAAAAGTTACTTTTTTCGGCCGCTTTAATGAATTACTCGTAGAAAATGTCGATTATAAGAGCGCGAGGTCGTGCAAACGGCTTTTTAAAGCGCTCGTTAGCGTCGCATCATTAACTCGACGCCATTTGTTCCGCCTCCTCTTCGTCCTCCTCTTCCTCGACTTCGTTAATGTCGGAGCCGTCGTACGCTGCCCGACCTTCTATTTTTTGTTAACTGCTTTTTTTTTCGTGTTGACGCGCTGTATTTGTTTCAGTTCGAACTCTCACTGACTCTGTCACTCTGATGGCCCGGGCGCGCAGTCGAAATTGTTTTTCATTTTTAGCTTATTTTAAAATCTCGTGAGTCTTTCGCGCATGCCCACACATGGAGTGGATTGTGGGAAAAAAAACCATGAATACGTCATTGTTTTTTTTTGGAAGGTCTGTAGGAGATGGGAGTGGGTGTCGACGTTGCTATTCGACAGAATGCGTACGTTTCCTTGTTTCTTTCAAATTAAAGAAAACTTGCACAATGTATCCTAAACAGGTGCGGCACAAACGAAAACTAATGTTTAAGTACACACGCCTCCCTGCAAAATGAACGACGATTCGTATTGAAAACTGTGAGCGCTCTCGCCTGCACGTTTAAGTGATGCCCGACCACAATACGGCACAAAAGTTTACGGATATGTCTTCAATCAGTAGTACCCATTTCAGGTTACGGAAATGACTGGTTGTACACATTTACTAATACGTGATGCTTTACGTCCCGAAGCCACGATTTCATTATGTGGGACGCCGCAATATAGAGGGCTCTGGAAATTTCGACCGTGTGGTGTTTCGGCTCCACCGAAATGCGACCACCGACACCGGGATCGAACCCGCGTCCTTCGGGTGGTTGTACTCATTTGAATGCTGCCACGTACGCGCAAATAAAACGTGAATGAGAGATAACAAGGTCGAACACGTTTTACGGAGTTTCAACTTGATCACTACATATGTCGAACCGTTAAATATGATTGCTATGTGGGGTTTAACGCCCCAAATCCACCATATGATTTTGAGAGACGCCGTAGTGGAGGGATCCGGAAATTTCGACCACTTGGGGTTCTTTAGCGTGCACCCAAATCTGAGCGCGCGGGCCTACAACATTCCCGCCTCCATCGGAAATGCAGCCGCTGCAACCGGGATTCGATCCCGCGACCTGCGGGTGATCAGCAGCCGAGTACCTTAGCCATTATAGACCACCGCGGCGGTGAACCGTTAAATATATGCTTATCGAAGATAGCCAGTGTTGGCCTCGAAGTTAGCGTACGAGCCGAAGTAGTGCTGATAGTATGCTTACTGACGAAAAGCAGAATGAAAGAGCGTCATTTGGTTAACCCCAACATGTTCCTGTTTATTTGGAACTTGACTGTCCTTGCAAGCAAATTTTCAATTACTTTCCACTGTTGGTGGCATCCAGCGGCCGCTGCTTCTGCGATTACCTGCATGCTCTTCTCTCTCCTGCACACGTCGCGACGTGCGTGACAGGCTCTTCCATTCCTTTCACTTCACGGCTGACGTCACTCTCTTTTTTCGGTTGACTGACCCCTCTCGCGGCCTGTCGAGACCCGCGCTTCAGCCCCGGTCGTCTATAGCTCCGGAAATGCCGCGGAGAGACGAAAACGGAGTCCTCGGGGTGAGCCATCTCGCGTGAGGTGCTCTCCGCGCGCTCGAGCAGCTTCCATAAATCTGGAACTGTACCCAATCTGCGTGGTGCGTGTACGTCTTCGTAGGGAAGATATTCTGTCCCCGCCTCTCCGTCTCAACACGACCCCTTGTCAGCGGGGTCCTAGGGGCTATTCATAGTCACCATATATAACGATGTGGCAGGGATCATCGAACACGACATGTGCCACTTCCCGGCTGCGCCCCGGTGTCCAACGCCCTCCCACACATCTTACAGAGGAGTGATGAGACGGGGGCAGCTCGTGCAGAAGCTGGGATGGCGAAACCTTGGAAATCTTCACTCTCCACTCTCGGCGTTTCACAGCTCCGGAAATCTGCGAGTGTGTCTCTGAGATACTTTCGTAATGACTTCAACAGCCGCTCGTATTCCTTCCATTCTGCCTTTATTATTGGGTCAAATGTATTCGGCGAGCGTTCGATTTTTCTAGAAAGTGGCGATTTGGACAAGATTTATATGCATAGAGGAAAAAGTTCATGCTGGGTCACGACAAAACGAGAGAGAGAGAGAGAGAGAGAGAAACAGTGTTTAGTCTGTTCTTCGCGCCCTCTTTCCTTGATCGCGTCGTCCAGCGGAAGTTTATACATTCATTTTTTTATGTTTCCTTCTCTCATTTTTCTAGTGAATCTCCTTTCCTGTCCCCTGGTCGTTTTCCCCTTTTCTCCTTCCTTTCTCTTTCCCGGCGCCAGGCGCCACACCTTGTGAATTGCGTAAAAATTGTGTTGATGAAAGCAGCCCGCTCATTTCAAAGGGCACAGCTGAATACATAATTACCATAAACATCATCATAATCATCATCATCGTCAGCAGCAGCAGTCACGCCGTCATTTAAGTGGGCAGCTATAGTATACGTAGGCGCGCATATTTTCTCACAGACGCCCAGAATAGGTACTTCGCTACTTCGCGAGAAATTGTGAAATATGGCATAGAGTGCCCTTCGAAACTTTACTTGCAGCAGCCCCGCCGTGGTGGTCCAGTGGCTAAGGTACTCGGCTGCTGACCCGCAGGGCGCGGGTTCGAATCCCGGCTGCGGCGGCTGCATTTCCGATCGAGGCGGAAATGTTGTAGGCCCGTGTGCTCAGATTTGGGTGCACGTTAAAGAACCCCAGGTGGTCTAAATTTCCGGAGCCCTCCACTACGGCGTCTCTCATAATCATATAGTGGTTTTGGGACGTTAAACCCCACATATCAATCAATTTACTTGCAGCAGGCGCCCTAGAAAAGTTTACAACGGTCACTATCTCGATAGGTGCGATCTTAAGGGACAGAAAGAGAGCAGAGTGGCATGGGAAAAACCGAGTGTAAAGAGCATCTTAGTCTAAATCGAGAATAATAAATGGACACGTGCAGGGCATGTAGCGTGTAACGCGTATCTAGATCGCATGGGCGTTCTTTTTCTCGTCGCATGGTTTATATATCCACCGAGACGCAACGTATGACAATGGAATGAGAAAGCGATTTGAACAGGGCTCGATTCGTAAATGTGAAGCTTATTGGGCTCCAGAACATGCAGCGGAAGCAGCAATTTTTTTTTAAGGGGGAGGCACTCCCTTCATCTGAAGGGGGAGGAGGGGGGCACGGGTTCGGTGTACCACCCCCTGGTTATGCCACTGCCCTGAACCACTACGTACGATTTTGAAGTCGATAGAGTGGCTTCTTTCTCGCCTTCACTACCTTTCTTACAGAAGCTATCTTAATCACTTCTTTCATAAAACACGTGGACGATATCAACACTTGTCATTGAGCCTATCAGGATTTCGCGCTATCAGGAACGCACCAGACGACATGAAATCAGTTCATCGCGTGCGATAGCCACGCGACGCAAGGCAGAGCAGGCGTGCGACTGCATGACAGAGCAGAGAATGGGAGACTATTCGCA